CTTTTTTTATATGCTTATTAAATACTGTGTTCACATTTTATAACAAATGGTCTGGTTATCTCTGCTCAACTGGAGTCAGAGTCAGTTTCACATAATGCAAGTTCCTCCAGCATAATGGCATATACTCTGTATAACGCATATGCTTTATATAACGAAAACTTCTTGAGTACAACAGCATGTATTTTATATAGTGAAGATACCTTTGATATGATAGTACCGGCAGCGGCATTGACACTAGAAACGGAAATGGAAACGGCAATGGCAATAGCAACATCAATGGCAATGGCAACAGCAATGGCAACAACAACAGCAACGGCACTGATACTAGAAATGGAAACGGCAATGGCAACAGTAACATTAACAGCAATGGCAACAGCAATGGCAACAGCAATAACAACAGTAATGGCACTGACACTAGAAATGGAAACAAAAATGGAAATGGCAATGGCAACAGTAACAGCAATATTAATGGCAACAACAATGACAATGGCAACAGCAATGAAAATGGTCATAGCCATGGCTCATACTTCACATAATCTGATTAGACAAAAATCTAAAAATAAAAATTGCAAACAAAATGATATCAATAAAAGAGTGAAGGTTACTCTTCATAATTTTCAATAAGCAGAACTTTGTGAAATAAAAAAAAACCAGCCAATACTTACTAATGTTAAACTTGCAGAAAAATTCGGTATAGATGCTTCAACAGTTTCTGATATTTTAAAAAAAAAGGATTATTATCTCAATCTTAATCAAAAATCAGTAGAAGTCAAAAGTCAAAGAGATTGTTTACCGAAGTTTCCTCAACTTGAAACTGCTTTAGCTCTTTGGTTAGATAATTGTATTAATGCCAATTTATGTATAAATAAAGATCTTCTTATTCACAAGGCTCATAATTTTGCTAAGTTACAAAATATAATCAATTTTACCGGTTCTGAAGGGTAGTTACAAAACTTTAAGTGTTGTCACAATGTTAAACAATATTTGCTTAAGGATGAGGCAAATAGTGCCTCTATTGAAGAGCTTCCACACTTACGAACTGAATTACAAACTTTTCTTCAAAATTGGGATTTAAATGATATTTACAATTGTGATGGGATAGGACTTTACTGGAAGATGGAACCCAGTAAAACTCTTTCTACACATTCTGTTGCTAGTACAAAAACATCTAAAGATCGAGTCACAGTTCTTCTTACTTGTAATGCTATGGGTACACATAAATTAGTTCCTCTTCTTATACACAAATTCAAAACACCTTGTTGTTTAAAAAATATAGATAAAAATTCTTTACCTGTTGATTATTACTGGAACAATTGTGCATAGATGCAAAAGTCTATATTTGATTATTGGTTAAAAAAATTCGATGCAGAAATGAGACACAACAATCGAAAAATTCTTTTACTTTTGAATAATGCAACATCACATTTTTTTGAAGAAGGTTTCGTATTGACCAACATAACTCTTCATTTTTTTCCTTCTAATACCACCGCACATCTACAACCTTGTGATGCGAAAATTATTAATTTTTTTAAGGTAATTATTATTATTATTTTTTTTTATTATATTATATTTATCTTGTTTTATATATAGTAATAATTTTTTATTTTAAGTCTCAATATCAAAAGCTTTTTTGTGAAAAACGTCTTGATGTATATGAAATGACTTTATTTATTAATCAACATATTACACTATTTAATATTCTTGATGCTATCCATTGTATTGATCGAGCATGGTCTAAAGTTACACGATCTATAATTACATCATGTTGGCACAAATGTCAAATTCTTTCTCCAACTATCGCAAATTACGATCAACTATTGGAACTTTTCAATACTTCAAATACTGAACAAGAAGTGGCAATACAAGATTTGATTAATATGTTTCCATTTGAAGATCCTCTTATAGCATATGAATTTATTGATATTGATGCTTCTTTGATAACTAATGAACTAATGACTGATGAGACAATAGTTGAAGCTATTCGTGAATCTATTGAAGAAGAAGAAGAAGAATTTGAGATAATTATACCAGTTACTTATATGGATGCTATTAAGTCATTAAACAAAATTATTCAATTTATAACACAACCATATACTAATTCTAATTTTAATTTATGTATTGATAAATCAATAGTAAATATGTTTCAAAATCTAAGAAAAAAAATTCTTCAAAATAATATTAATACAAAAAAACAAACTTCTTTAATTTTATTTTTTACAAAATAATAATTTTTTGCATTTTTTTTTTTTGCATTAAATGTATAACAAATAGGGTTCTGATCGATATCGATAAATATCGTTTATCAGTTTTGGTATTGGTAATAATTTTTAAGTTTAAATACTGAACTGAAATTTTCAGTAATATACTGATCGGTTTTGGTACTTTTTAAAAAATACCGATCGGTAAAATATTGGTTGATAAAATATCGATTGGACCCATTTTACTTTTAATAAAAATTTACAAAAACCCTAATACAATTATTGTAATCAATTTTTTCAAGTGCAAATGATTTAATTACTTAAAATAGAACTTGTCTTGCTGCTAATACAATTCATGCAATAATATATGTTTAAAACATTGGTATCAATCAAATTATGCCATTGATATACAGTATATATATATATTTTTTAATTTTTAACAAGTATTAAATATGAGACTTATATCATTAATATATTATATAATAAATATAAAATAATATTGAAAGTTAATTAATAATATAAAATATTTTTGATTCTATAAATCTTTAAAATCGGAAATTAATTTTTAAAAAATAAAAAAATTAATAATCTATATTGACAATATCTTTCTAACTATTAATAAAAAATATTCTTCTTATCAAAATACCTATAATCTCTTAAAATCATTTAAAAGATTGTTATTTGACTTTACAAAGAAATTTGAATTTTTCATTAGACATTTACACTATATTTTATAAAAAAATAATTAATTTAAAAAAAAAAACTCTTTCCCGCTCCTCTTAAATTTTTGAAAAACTTCCTTTTTAGGAAATTTAACAAGACATGAATGGAGGACATGTCAAGTTATACCTTTCTTTAAAGAAACTTTTTCCCTTCTTTTATCACTATCGAGAATAAAAACTTTTTCCTAGAATAGGCCTGTCAGTTTATTTAAGACTGATATTTCACCTCTCCAACATGGAAAGTTACCTCTGCCAACATCAACACAACACTTCTCCTATATCTCAAGACCTGCTACACATGAGCCAACTTTAAGAGTTTGATTGAAAAGAGTCAAGCTGCAGAAGGATGGGACTCTTGGTTGAATTCTTCAAGACTTGAGACACCTTGTTGAGGAAAAGTGTATAGAGAAAGACCTTTGATTTGATATCTTTTTCGCTCATACACATAGATACAAATTTTCTCATCAAAAACCAAAATCAGCTTACCCCCATCAAATGATCGATATTATTCCTTATCCAATCACATCTCACGAAAATCGCATCATCTGATATCATAATAACAACAACAATTATCATATGTTAATATTAAGTAAACAATTTTGAAGAGATCAGTGATGTGGACACTAACGTATGGTGCTATCATGGCTTTTAAACAGCTTACCGATTATATAGGAGTTGCATCCTGCTTGGCAGTTTTGCCCCTAGATTTGGCAGCTTAAGCCAATTGAATCCTTTGGAGTATCTACTAGAAGATTTTGAAGTCACGTCCCACTTGGTCTTAGAGCTCCTAGATTTAGTAGTTTGTGCCAACCAAAGATTACAGTTTCGAAGTATTTATTAGGAAGTACATAATAACATTTAATCCCCTCTGAATCCATAACTGCATGAGCCGAAGTTGTGATGTAAGAAATTATTTATTAAGTATTAACATGCAGTTTATCATTTCCGGTTGGATCTGAAGTCATTACTATAAATAGCACGGTCTGTCATGCTACTATCTAGATCATTATTAGTTTTAAAATTTCTTTTCT